TTTTTGAATTATTCATAGTATATAACATAACAAATTCTCTTTTTTTTTTCCAGGTTAGACGATATTGATCGATCATGTACTATGAATCACCATGATCCGTTTTATATATACGGTTATCTTTATCATTTGAATTTAACAATCAATTATTTACTACTTTTTATAAGACTTTGCTATGTTTTATTTAATTGTGGCATGTTATGTTTTATTCCATAGATTGCTTAAGACTATGCTATTTTGTATTTTTGCTTATTTTTCAAACTAATCGAATTCTACTTACAATTTTAAACCAAAAACCATCATTAAAATTCCATATATTTAAATGTCGATCGTTTTTGTTTTCCCGCTCATTCAATAAAATTTGGGCTTTGTATTATTCGGCCCAAACATACTAATTATCAATAAAACTATCCATTAAAATGTTATATATATATTACGAAAATACCATTAATAATTTTTATGGGTCACGAACCGAATCAGAATAATTCGCGAATTTTTTATCGGATCCATTTGTGATGAACCGCCGAAATTACCCTCACCAAATCAATCGATTTAGTTATAGAGACCATGACAATTGAATAATATTCTCTTCAATTTCAAACGTGTTGCTAAACGTACTTCTATTTTAATATTTTAGAGATAATATATTGTTTTAACACTATTTGTTTCGGAAGAAACAAATAAATTGCAATTGTTAGATCTGATTTCTATTTAAATAGTTTGCTAGATCGTCATTGGTCTGTAATGTATTGTTTCTATTAAGAAAAGAAAGGAAAACAAAATTGCAGTCATCTTCAACGGTTTGATTCTTGTTTTTTGTTAATATAACAAAGGTTTGTTTTTTGTTGCTTGACCCGGTTTACAAGGAACTGGTATTGTTCTGGTTTGTTAAGAACTGGTTTGATTCTTGTTTTGATTATTACTTAGCAATCATCCATATTCTCGTATTGTCATATTACTATTTCATAGCTTGGGTTCCGTGGAACACTGTAAGAGTAAATTAGCTAAATAACCAAAAATTTAGCTATAATTAAAAAAATGATTAAATTGTGGGGATTTTTTTGAAAAATATTAGGGAGTATGCCTCTTCCTTTGGTTACTTCTCCAATATCGTATAACCAATAATGTTTCCTTT